TCGTATTCTAGAACTCTATTCAATGCTCAAGTCAGGATTGCACTGGCCACACAAGCACTGGAAATACGACCCTAATGGCAGGGACTTGAGTATGATTTCGAGTGCTTTAAACCATACTCAAATCATGAATTGAGCATTGAGTAGAGTTCTAGAATACGACCCTTAGGGTCGTATTCCAGAACTCTACTCAATGCTCAAGTCAAGACTTGAGTATGATTTCCAGCACTAGAAATACGACCCTAGCGGCAGGGATTTGAGTATGATTTCGAGTGCTTTAAATCATACTCAAGTTCTGACTTGAGCATTAAGTAGAGTTCTAGAATACGACCCTTATGGTTGTATTCCAGAACTCTACTCAAGTCAGGCCTTGAGTATTGCAGTGAGCACTGAAAACCATACACCAGTCCTTGCCATAATATTTTCTCTGTATGTTTTGACATTGAAATCATTAAAAATTTCGCTATTAATAAACTCCTAAAATTTAGTTTAAAAAAATTATAAGATAGATCGACAAAATTAGGATGAACGTAAAATTATAGCAGTGTCCTACGAATTATATTTTTGTGAAAATGACAGAACAATAATTTTAATAATCGTGTATAAAATTTATACAGTAACATACCATTATTGAAATCCCCAAGTTATCTCATTGATCTCATTTTTTGAATTAATTACACTTAGATATTTTAAATTGTGTACTCAAAATTATTTTATAAGTTTTTATTTTAAAATAACCGAAAATGCACTTTCTCTTTGCAGCAAAAATGTAACTTTTTAAGCAACGAACCTTGCAACGAAACATTATTTTTGACTCAAGTGACTCCATGGTCCTGGCAACACAGTCGCCATCGCCAACACTAAGCGTCTTTCTAGTGACAAGATTTTTCCCTCCGTTTGGAATTTCGGCACAACTCTGTTGTTCTACGATTCTGTTACAAATATACTACTACTTTTCCATAATTGTTTACTACCCTAAGTTCAAAATGCGGAAAGTGTCGAAGAATCGGGCTGACGACGATGTTGTATCATCTACTAATGGATCAGTGTTGAATGAAGACCAAGTCGATGCAATCAAACCGACGGACAACGACGAAAGAGCGCAGGATTCTGATGATAGTGGGGGTTATGATAAGAGCGACGATGAGACGCTGAACTCTAAGTCGAGTTCTAAAAAGAGTAAGGGCAAGAAAGGCAGAAAAAGGAAGGCCGACAAAAAGGAGAAGAAACACCGGGAGGAGGACAACGATGAAGATGGCACCGAGGAAGAGTATGAGGTCTGTTTATGCCGTTTTTAATTACTTCACGACTTCGTGTAAAAGTTTTAAATATACTTAGTAATCGGTTTGGAATACTGTAATTTTCGAAGCTTGTTTTGCAGGTGGAGAAAGTGATTGATTCGAAGAAGATTAAGGGCAAATTGCATTATCTGATACGCTGGAAGGGATACACTGCTGAAAGTGACACCTGGGAACCGGAAAACACACTGTCATGCCCAGAATTGATCAATAAGTTTATTGATGAAGTAAGTGAATCTGTAGTGAACATTATGCGCAGTTGTATTTCGTTTCATACTTATTTTAATATACCCCATGGATCTGTTAAACTAGGACTAAGCTATTGGCTTCTTAGGATATTTGTTTGCATTGTGCATAAAAACTTGTTTGGAGCACGCTGCTCCTACATTTTTTTTTTTATATTAAATTGTTGTACTTGCTAATCAATCAATTTGTTCATATTCAGTAGTAACTACCATTGTAACAAATTTTAATAAAATTTAATATCATAGTATAATCATTGACTTACTATACAGGGTGTAAAAAGACCCTGAAGAAGAAGTATGAATAGTCTATGGTTTTTCCATACAGCACTGCTGTATGGAAAGAAAATCATTCAGTTCATTCAATTAGTTTTTGTAATTGATTAGTAAATTGAAAATTTCAATCAGAATCAAACAAGCATTTAAGTGTAAAGATTTTAAAGAGAATTTAAATTAAGATTTTGAAAATTTTAGATTTGATTTTATTGGTTATGTAAGAAAAACCACTAGTAGTATAAGTACACCATATTTATACACAAGCTCACACCCTTTCATGACCAAACCTGATAGCAATGTTTCGATAATAATATAAAGAAATAATTAATGTCTCACTCACCTATGATCCTTCGCCAAATCAGACACTTATCAGGAATTTCCATGGGAGGCACCACAAACACACGATTTGTGAGTCAAGTGACTACTTCTTATTTTGAATCACCAACAATAGCGATTTAGCAATTTAATAAATGTAATTTCGCACATATTTTGGAGTTTTTAAAAGAGAGCATACTATTGTATATAATCTTTACATGTACTAATTCTTTTATTTTTGATGTTGACAACCCCGGCCGATGCTATGGCCGCCATTTTGTTTACTCGTTGACGAGCCATTCGCTACACAATTCTTTTGTGTGTTAAGTTGCTCTGATTATTTTCTGTGCTTTTACTGTTCCAGAGTTCTCTATAACCTGTACAGATTATAACATTCTGATCTCATGTTGAATTACCCATATGTTTATAGCAATCAGCAGCGAAATCGCAAATCAAACTGTTGTTCCAACTGATTCAATTACACAAATCGATTTGTAATGTCTATTAATTATTTACTTATTAATTATTACACATTCACAGTTTGCAAGTAATATTTTTATGTTATATACATATATCTTATTGCATACCATTACACAAGCATACCTTACACAAATAGTTTTTGACTTTCTAATTAGACTCAGGGTCATATTCTAGAACTCTACTCAATGCTCAAGTCAGGATTTAAGTGTGGTTTAAAGCACTCGGAATCATACTCAAGTCCCTGCCATTAGGGTCGTGTTTCCAGTGCAATCCTGACTTGAGCATTGAATAGAGTTCTAGAATACGACCCTTAATATTTCACGGCTTCTATAAGAAGCAATCAACAAATACTTGACAAATAATATTTTTAATTTTTTTTTTATAAAAAATAAGTGCGCATTTGACCTCCATCTCACCTGGTGCAAAGTGACGATGAGGTCGAGAATGTAGCATGCACACCTAAATAATGCCTATTCACTCTCGCCTTGAAAAGGTCCAAGTTATAGCATTTGGGGAATAAGTCTGCAGGCAGGGAATTCCACTCTCTAGTCGCTCGCTATACAAATGTGGAAGCGAAACGCTTCGTGCGAATCCGCGGAATATCCACAACATAGGGCTGGAACCCCCACCCGCGTCTAGTCTCCCGATGATCGAAAAGGGAACGCGGAATCAAATTATGCAATTCCATCGCACACTCTCCGTTATATATTCTGTAGAATACCGATAAGCTGGGAACTCTATGGCGGTGTTCAAGGCTCTGCAGCTTCGCCTCTACTAGTTCCGAGTCACTTGAATCCAAGGTGGCCAGTTGGTATTTAGCAGAGCCATCGCATAAGTGACAACAGTACTCCATACACGACCGGACTTGTGCTTGGTACAGCCGAAGCAACTGTCCCGGTGTGAAGTATCGCCTCACCTTGGAAAGGATGCCAAGCTTCTTGGCTACATTTTTGGCCATGGATTCAATGTAACTGCCGAAGTTCAGTTTGGACGACAGGTCCATTCCAAGTAGGTGAAGACGATCAGCTATCGGTATGGATATATCACGAAAAGTCGGAGTCAGGTGAAAGGGACCCCGTTTAGTGGACAAAAGACACGCCTGCGTTTTGGTAGCATTATATTTGAGAAGATTGGCATCGCCCCAATTGGAGACTGCCTTAAGTGTCAAATTCAAACGACTAACCATGGACTCTCGACAAGACTGGATTTCTTCTCCACTGACCCCTGGCTTTATTCAAGTACCTGTCCAGAACTGTGCTGTCATCAGCATACGCAAAGGTACCTGGAATCAACATATCGTTTATATGCAGCAGAAAAAGGGTTGCGGACAGTACAGAACCCTGAGGAACTCTATCTAAAATCTATCGCCCTATGTTCGGAAGAATAGCCTTCTAAGACCACTGGAATCGAACGTTCACTCAAGAAATCCGAAATCCAATTGCAAAGGTCAGTGGGAAGCCCATAAGATGGAAGATTGTTTAAAAGGCTTGCGTGCCAGACCCTGACAAAGACCTTAGAAATGTCTAAAGACACTGCAATGGCTTCGCCATGCTCTTCTATAGCCTCGCTCCATAAGTGAGAGGCATACACAAGAAGATCCCCAGTAGATCGCCCTCAATCCGTACTGGCGATCACTGAGGAGATCGTTGTCTTCAAGATACGACAGGAGACGGCTGTTAAGTACACGTTCCATAGTCTTGCAGAGTATGGAAGTGACCGAGATAGGTCTACAGTTGACAGAGTCAGCTCTACTTCCTTTTTTAGGCACTGGTTGCACATTTGCAAGCTTCCACGACTACTAACTACACCAGTCTCAAGCGAGAGGCGATACAGGCGTATGAGAATAGGAGAAAACTCAAGCGCACAGTTACGCAGGACTATTGCTGGAATTCCATCTGGCCCGCTAGCTTTATGCACGTCTAGACTTCGCAGAGTTCTGAGTACCTCTTTTTGGCGTATGCGAACTGGCGCCATAGTGCATCCAGTCTGAGGTAAAGAAGGTGGTAGGTATCCTGCAGCATCCAGATGCGAGCTCTCTGCAAAGAGTGAGGCGAAGAGATTCGCCTTCTCTTGCGCAGTATGGGCCAGCTAGCCGTCTGGCCTCAGCAGAGATGGTAATGAGTGGCTACTAAAGTTTTGTTCGACCAAAACGACTTGCTGCCTGCTGGAAAAGAGGCAAGCTTGGCCTCTATGCGGCGCACATGGTCAAACTTGACCCTGCGTAAAACTCTTTTGCTCTTCTTGGCGGCTTTATTAAAGGCTTTCTTCAGATTCCGAGTATTCGGAGCTTTGCGTAGTCGACCATCTGCCCAAGCTTGGTACGCAGGCTGTTTTTGTGCTTCAGCACGACTACGGTCAGCGTTAAACCATGGACGAGCTTGGGGTCCATTGGGTACATCGAAGTATGGTGGTATATAGTACTCCATGCCCAATCGCAAAACCTCAACTACAGCAACCTGGCAGAGATATGAAGCAAAATATGGCGCCTTTCGTCCCAATATGCTAACCTGTATCGCCACACCCGTCTCGTACCACTGCGGCCCAGAATGACTAGTTGCGTCTCTGGATACCTAAGCTGAGCCTCATCAGACGTCTCGCTCAGATGTTGGAACAGCTTGGTTGTCTCTTGATCTCCACTGTGCGAGCGGTAGACACAGCAGTATACTATTTGGGTAACTCCTGTGTCAACCAGAAGCCACAAAATAGAAAAACTCGGTGCCTCAAGTTTCTTGAGACGCTTGACACAGATGTCATCACCAACGTACACACAGACTCCGGCACGAAGTAGGAACCTGTGCTCCAGAGTATACTCTGGGTAGCTGAGGTACGCCGTGTAAATCGGACATCTGATCTGCGTCTCGGTGAGGAACAGCAGCTGCGGTTTATCGTTTTCCAGGTGGCGGTGGACCGCTTCGATATTTGAGTGCAGCCCTCTGATGTTGGTGAGGTGCACTTTTAATGGGAGGACGTGCAACCGCTGTGAAAAATGTATTCCTTTTTTGTGACTCATAATTTTAAATTGGAGAAGCGAATAGGCAGGAGGAAGGCAGTGGAACGAGGCATTGCGTCGTCCAACCAAGCAGCAAACTCACACTGCCACACGAGGGTACAATAGGTTTGGAGACCGCGGGGGACGCCCGAACTCCCCCGGAGATGGCCACCTGGTCCTCCCCTCCGGTCGCCAACCGGCAAGGTGGAGCATTCCGGGATTTTTTGTTAGGTGGCGGGGCAGCCTTTCGCGGGTGGCTTTCCCACTACTTGGGCCCCCAACTTCCTAAGGTCGGCCGGCGGTGCACCGTGCTTCGGATCTCGCTACCCTTCAGAACCGAGTGCTCAGTGTGGCAAAACAAGCAGCTACTACTCGTCGTTGGACGCAATGCAACTGTTCAGACCCGACCTCCTAATGGCAACTCCCGAACACGAGTCGGAACACGGATAAACCATTTGGCGACTCGACTGCGTCGGGAGGGTGGCTACCAGTCACGACCAAAGCCTACCAATCATCTACAAATCATTATTCTAAATAAGTGGCTGCATCCGCGCATTCGATTTAATCAATCGCTTTAGTGCCGAAGGAGGTTTGCCATCACTAAATAGCGCTTGTGACATCATCGGAGGTACAAAAAATGTAACACGCTTGGTTTTCATACAAATTGCGGTTCATCGAGTTGGGTACTAAAAGATAATCAAGGCTACCTCTATTGGTGAGTATCGCAAGTTTCCTAGATCTTAAGGTTAGTTTCATCGTGACGAGATAGATGGCGTTTTCTGTATCTATTTTAATATCTGTTACAATTTGAACCAGTATAGTTCCATAGTACCTTTTTTCAAGTTTGTCGGGATAAGCAACCATTATAAATAGTAACGTACTCAAGTTTCGAAATGAATAAATGAAAATTATACTCAAAGTCTTAGCGCGAAAACGGCTCGATGACAGCCTCGTTGCCATTCCGTCCATGTGACCATCAATGTGCGGGGCGTGGTGCGGTATCTAAAGCTAGGGACGGTCGGAGAATGTCCATTCTCGTTACTTTTTGTTCTCTGCGTAAAAGACGCATGCCAATTTTCAGCCGGATCATGATTTTCACCCGCTATCTTGATTTTTTTTTTGATACTCGTAGTTGACCACTGTTACCCTCTAAGACATTCCTTCCAGCACCTCCTATCTATCTCTAATAGGTTCCGTTATAGAAGACCTTATTTGAACTTCGAACATTATTTACTTCCGCTGTAAATTGTCTAGGGTGTACCTCGTAAAAGTGCACAAATATTCCCTCCATATATTATAGTTTTCGCAGGCCGTTGATCACTCTTTTATATTTTTCATATTGTTTTGGAACCTATCCGCGAACTACGGTATAAATATCTTTTTTCCACTCTATCGGTAAGTATGCGTTTTATTTCTATCAGTTAGTCGGAACATGTAGCATAATAAATATTAATGGCCACTTGTGGACAAAATGTGAAAATTGTTATGGACCATAATTTGTCATAAAATGTGAAAATTGTTATGGACCATAATTTGTTATCTTTGTTTTCTACTCTTTTGACATCTTTCTTAACAGTATCTTCTGATTTATTATGCATTTCCACAACTCTTTGGTTGATCGTGTCAATTGTTGTTAGGTCTGATAACATCCTCGCAATTGTGTTCATTGATATGTCGTCTTTATTTTCGTATGACATTTCGCAGTCACCAGACGTGCTAATGTTAAACCCAGTGTACAATGATACTAGAAACATTTTAAGTCGTTGGTTGGTAGAAGATTGTATTGTAGTAGTGCAACTTTTTACACAGATTAGATACGTGCGTCTTATTGCTACCTTACGCTTCATCATTTGTTCGTTTGCACCAAAACGTGCCTGATTGTCAAAAGAGGATTTTACATTGTCACCGCAATAATTAATTGCGTTGTAATGAAACTGTATAACATTAATTATTCAATTTTGCCCGAGGTGTGGCAGGCAGGCACCTTCTGTGTAGTACTGCCTATATCGCCTTAACTTTTTCAAACGTGCATCTAGCATTCCCCTAGCATTGAATAAACCCATTAATATCTACTGTCTTAGTAGTTAGACATTGTTTAGAATCATTGTCAGCCTATTCAAGTGAGTAGATAACTCCATCATAAATCTATACATCGATTTCAAAGAGTGACTGGTATAATAATTTATATATATCTATCTGGGAGGGTATCAAATATTTAATTCATAGAAACAACTAAAACGGAGTTACGCAGTGTGCTAAACAACGACATCTAAACGAACGCTAAAAATCTTCTATGTTTATATATATAACATCATTGTAGGAAATGAGACAATTTTTCGCTTATTTCTTCTGTAGTAAGTTAATACTTTTTTTCCCCCAAATTGTTCTATAGAACAAACTACGGATGGGAAAAACTGAGAAAAAATTGTCTACTGTTGTCCTATGGAACAAACGGTAAACTTCAATTACCCTTTTGAAGTCAATTGACAATCATTTTTAATATCTGTTTTTTTGCATTAATGTATCTTGTACGGAATATAACAAGAATCTTAATCTAGCATTTTTATTTTTATTCATTTATTGTTTTATAGAAAGAAAATTCTAAAACCAAGGAAAGCAAAAGCCCAGGTAGAAAAGTCAATAAGAGAAAAGTTGCTAAAAAGGAGGCTAAATCCAACAAAAGGCCTAAAACTGAGTGGGATAGCCAGAACGCAGATTCGGCTGCTGAATACGAGGTAAGTTACCTTAGTTGTTTAAAAGATACTTCAAATGAGAATGATTTATAATAATATTGTTTATTGTAAGCTATATTTGGTATCAATTATATTACAGGTAGATCGCATTCTGGAAGTACATCACAAGAAGAATGGCGAGAGAGATTTTCTCATTCACTGGAAAGGCTGGTCTAGTAAATTTGATTCCTGGGAACCAGAGAGCAACCTCAATTGCTCAGAGTTAATTAAGAAGTTTATGGATAAGGTATAAAATAATGCTTTGCGTTTTAGCAAATTGGTGTTAAGTATTAAAGCAGTTGTTTATACGTGCTGACATTGTTGTAGCCTTGGGTAAACGTATTGAACATTCTAAGGATTTATTTCAGATTTTTTTTATATACCTTGTGTTTTTTATTTATTTTTATATTTGCGCGCCGCCAAGGTTTTTATGATATCAAGTGACGGGACGAACAAGTCGTAGCCTTGTGGTGAGCTACTCGCCTTTAAATCACAAAGATCTGAGGGGCACTGCCCCTGCGCCCGTAACCCTGAGGCATAAGTTAACAAGCCTTTCATGCCTGAAGGCGATGATTTTAGGGTCGAAACACAAAACGGCACCGCAGAAATCTACGATCTCGCACGACGCATCGCAAGAATTTGCGAATTGCTCCGCATCGCGCATTGCTGCGATCTTAATCTTCTTTGTGTTTATTTTTTCCTATACTTTCTTATCAATGACAGCAGTGCAACACTCTGTATACGATCCATGTCATTAGCCTATTTAAAAAATACGTTCAGTACGGTTGATGGTCGTCGAAAGAATGGTTACCCGAACCGTGGCAGTGAGATACCTCGCCGCACGAAATCGCATCGCAGCAATTCGCGTCGCAATTTTCTGCGTTGCGAATTCACTTTCGACCCTTAGTCTAAACTGTTGTGTGTGTGTTACCGACCGTATAACAAGGCGAAGGCAGTATTTATCTGGGACTGCATGACTGATTCAGCAGTTGGGGGAAATGTTTGTCCGTGATAGCCGTTATTTAACTTCTTAAAATACATTAATGTCGTACAATCTGCATTGCTATCCTCATTTTCAACCCTTTTTGGCAAAAAGGGACCTCTACCAAATATTGATTTTGTATGAATAAATTGCACCTAAAAATAACATGTATAAATTGTTTAAATTTATTTTAAATTGATATTCCCCAAAAAAAACAAAGGTATCATAGGTGGATGGATACTTTTAACCAAGGCAATACTTACGGGAAATTATTATTCTTATATGTTTTCGCTATTTTATTTCAGTTCATTTGTTTCTTTTGCAATAATTGTTGTTTATGAGCATATACGACTTATCACTTCTCAGGTGGAGTCGGCACGTTCAACAGAATCGCGTAATTTAAGAGTGGCTCCGGAAACCACAAACCGTTTTACATTGCAGGCCCCATCTTCAGGACGACGTCTTAGCAAGAGGCGCGGTCAGCATCAAAGGTACATGTGTGTTCTAAAGTTACGTTTTAATTTTTAACCCAATAACTATAACTGACTCTTTCCCTTTTGCTGCAGGGTTCGTTATGATGGAGCTGAATAAATATTAAAAATGCACAAAAACAATTAAATAAGGTTCTGTAATACTTGTATGTCAAGTCTATGTGACAGCAAGTACCAAAAAATTATGTTGTGTTTTGTGGTAATCAGGCAGTCTTTTATGATTCTCGGTATCATTTTATATGACAATTGAGATTGTAATGTATTGTGGTTTTTATGTTATCAAACACCTCAGAGCTTTTTCCTGTGACGTGTGGGCTAAAATCTGTCCACAAAAATTTTTTTTGTGTAAGCTATGCAAGATGTTGCAATGTACAAAGAAGATCATGATCTGCTACTTCACAGGTAAAGAGTTCTTCAGGTTTTTTCTTGAGTATATTTTTGTGCAAGTGGCCAAATGCTTTAGCGATATTTAGAGGATTTATTTTTCTTTTTATAACTCACCATACATTTTTCTTTTATGTGTTTAAGTAGTAATGGGCTAACATTAAGAGTACCGTTCACTTAGAATCAGCATTTGGTAATTTGTTTATTCGACTCATGACAGAGTAAGTTTTATTTGCTATTGCACATAGTACATATATTTTTAGATTGCTTGCTTGCTCTAAAACCAAGATGTATATAGAAACATATTGCATTATATAATTGTCTTTGGATTAGAGCAAATTAAGTGTTAGGGTATAGAATTTAAGAAGAGAGTTATTCAAAATTTTGTGTTATATTTGACAGACGATCTGCCCTGATAAAATATAAATGCTTACGGTAGGTTCACTTAGGTGCCATTTTTATTTCACGATATTTGAAGTATGATTCAATACAAACAACCTTTACTATGGAAAAGAAGAAAACCCGTCAATCGCAAAACAATAATTTGCTGTTGCATATATTCTGAGAGGTATAAGTATTCAATGTGGAACAGGATATTTTTACGCTTTTGAATGATTTTCACAGTAAAAGTAGTTTGTAGGCGTATAGTTGGGTAGAATCACCTCCCTAAAGTATCGTAGAATAAAAGGATGTCGCTGTGTATTTTTTTTTATAACACCAAGTGACGGGACGAGCACGTCGCACGCTTGGTGGTAAGCGACACGCCTATCCATAACAGTTGCAGTGTAATTCAGAGCTTCAAATTGCAAAGATCTTGGGGCACTGCAACCATCACCTTGAAACAAGTTGACAAGTCCCACGTGACTAATTTCACCAGCACACTTACCCTTTTAAACCGGAACGCTGTAATGCTCACATTATTGCTTGGCTGCAGAAATAGGTAAGATGGCAGTACTTGCTTGGACAAACTCTCACAAGGAACTTTACTGCTACTAAATACTAGACTGTTTAATCCGTCTTGGTTCATCTGTCTGAAATTTATTGAAATGTATATTCTGGTCAAATTGAATGCGCGAACGGTTGCAAATAATTCGGCCCGATTTTATGCTTTTACTTTTAGGTGCAATTTTTTTCAATTTTAAGTATATATTATAGTAAATAATAGGGTAAATGCTCGTCTATGTACATGCAATTAAGTTTGCATAGTTTTTTCCAAAAAATAATATCAAAGTACAAATAACTTTGAAGTGTAATGGCATAGAATAACAGTATTAATTTATCATGTCCAAACTTCGGAGCTATTCAGGTTTTGTTCTTTTTTGTTTACTTAAGTATGGTCATAATGTTCTGACACAGACATGTTCATATTTTCTATAAAAACATCTGTTAATTTAAATATATATAGAAATTATTACTGTGTAATGTTAATATTAACTTTACATCTTAACTATCCAGGTAACACTAGTAAACTAGTGACAGAACATTACAATATCAAGTAATACTAGTTATCAAAAGGATATAAAATTATATTGTAGTCCCATGGAATTTTAGGTGGCTATGCGACCCAATTTAAGTGGCAGGATTGAGCTGAGATGTAATGCAATTTCCGTAAAACTCGAATAGCTCTGAACAGATCACTATCACGTGTCACTTACACGTAATATCATTGGCTTCGTGGGTCTTCAAAATGATATCGTATCTAACGAGTCCCGACTTTAGCATTTAGGTTATCACCTGTAAAATTTGCATGCAGCTCTTTTTGGTGTGTTTGATGTACTTTTAAACTTGGATAATTAAAAGTTAAAGAAATATCAACATTTGTTTTTATTTATAATGAGAACAAACTTATGAATTTTCACTTCCGATATTACCAAATACAAAGAAAATTCTCTTAGCAATAGAATAAATAAATTTTATTGGACTGTAACATTAAATAAGATTTACACAGTGTAATATAAAGTCCATAACAAAAGTATAGCTGATTAAATAATTTAGTTCTGCCATGATTATTTTTCAATACCACCTAGAACTCAAGACTTCGGACTTTTCGTCTGAAGAAAGTTTTTTCTAAATATCTACAGTTTTAAGCTACCTTTGGACATTTATATACAATATCGTATCTAACTTTTTTTTATAACATCAAGTAAGGCCCATTTAGATGGAGCGAGTTTCTCGTCTCGAAGATACGATTATCGAAATAATATAAAAAAACTTTCCTCGTCTAAACTTTCGCGATTATCGCCCTTCCACGTGAGCGATAATCGCCTCGCCTTTCAATATTGAACGTCTCCGTGTAAACAGAACTTGAAAGCAAAAGTCGTATTTCGAGTTTTTGTGCCAGCCGTTCCTACCATGAGCACAGTGCGCGAAGGTGTTTTGATTATCACTGCTTTTCTAAGACAAGAATTAAGGAAACGAAAAAGAAAAAAAAGGGTTAAGAAATGTTATAAAATATAAAAAAGAATGTATATTTCTATACAGTGCAATGAACTTAATATTATCAGCAGTTCTAAATTTCAATAATTTTTGCGTCATTTTGATATATTCATAGTCAATATCGCAGTAATCACTGAACTCGAATGGCAATTCTCGCACTCAAAACGGTTCGAACCGATTTGTACGATAATCGTATGAACTTTAAAAAATGTCATACGAGATCGTGTTTGGGCAAGTCGAAAACTCGTAAGCAAGGATCTCCTTACGAGTATTACATATTTCTCTGTCTAAACAGTCGAGGAGGCGATTAAGTTGATTGCGAATCTCGTATGACATAATCGTAGGTGAGATTTTAGTTCTTGCCTTAATGTAAACATTATGATACGATAATCTTATGGCGTTTATTGCTTACGATAATCGCGTACGATTTTTCGTCACGAAGCGTGCGATAAACTCTCCATCTAAATGGGCCTTAAGTCGTGCACCTGATGGTAGGCGACACGCCCACCTATTATCGTTGCAGTGCCTCGCAGAGCTTTAAATTGTGTGCCTTATTTCAGCGTGACCATGGTCGAGGTTTTGAAATTTGACTAGCCAGATAAAGTTGTAAGGTTTTATTCGGTTCAGTCGCAAAAAACTAGATTTTAGTCGGTCCGCCGTTCAAAAGTAACAGGGGCGTTTTACTGTCCACTCTGGAATAACCTTATTCCAGCTGCACCGTTTCTCACTCTAGAGAACAACAATACCTAGCTTAGATCTGATTACACTAAAAAAAGTTTTGTGATTTAGTCGGTTCTAGTCGTGAAAAACTAGATTTATTCGTTACGCCGTTTAAATTGCAAAGATCAGAGAGGCACAGCCACTGTATCCATCGCCTTTCACGTGCCTGCAATTTCAACAGAACCCTTATCCTTTCAGAAACGGGGCAGCAATGCTCGCATTACCGCTTGGCAAAAATAGATGCAGTCAATTGGAAGTTACGAAACGATCACGCTTCCGAGGCTGATCAAACTATTCCTTCCAAGTCGGGGCGGGGGGGAGCGACGAGGCGCAACTGGTGGTCGGGCGGCGGGCTGGCGGGGCGCGGCACGCGCGGCGGCAGGTTCAGCAGGCGGTCGGGCACCTGCTGGCCGCACGCGCCGCAGCGCTGCTCGGGCTCGCAGTCGGCGTGGAAGGCGCGCGCGCAGTGCGCGGTGCGCAGCGCGGGCCGCGCGTCGAAGCGCCCGCCGCAGCGGCGGCAGCGCCCGCGCACGGCC